ACTTGGACCAGTTTGTTGTTGTCTTTATTGATGACATACTGGTGTACTCGAAATCCCATGAAGAGCATAGCACACATCTGAGGATCGTCTTGCAAATTTTAAGAGATAAAAAGTTGTATGCCAAATTGTCCAAATGTGAGTTCTGGTTAAAGGAAGTAATTTTCCTGGGGCATGTGATCTCGGCAGTTGGGATTAGAGTAGACCCTCAGAAAGTTAAAGCTATATGGATTGGGAAGTTCCTAAGAATGTGTCTGAAGTTCGGAGTTTTCTGGGACTTGCCGGTTACTATCGAAGATTCGTTAAGAATTTTTCGATGATTGTGCTGCCTCTAACAAAGCTAATGAGAAAGAACGTACCATTTGTTTGGACTTCTGAATGTCAAGAAAGTTTCGAAGCTTTAAAGAGAATTCTGACGGAAACTCCGATATTGGTTCAACCGGAATCTGGCAAGAATTTTGTAGTATACAGTGACGCATCCCATAACGGGTTGGGGTGTGTATTAATGCAAGAAGGAAAAGTGGTAGCGTACGCATCGAGACAGTTGAAACCACATGAAAGGAATTACCCCACTCATGATTTAGAAATGGCTGCTGTAGTATTCGCTCTCAGGATTTGGCGTCATTATCTTTATGGGAACGTTGCTACTTATATACGGATCATAAGAGCCTGAAGTACCTGATGACTCAAAAAGAATTGAATTTGAGGCAACGTAGATGGGTAGAGTTCTTAAAGGATTATGATGTGATAATTGACTATCATCCCGGAAAGGCTAATGTGGTAGCAGATGCTCTGAGTAGAAAGACGTTTGCAGCTTTACGAGCTATGGATGCAAGATTATCTTTAACGGGAGACGGTGGTCTTTGTGCGGAATTAACCCTTAAACCAGAATGGTTGGAACGAATAGGAGAATTGCAAGGTAAAGATGAAATGTGTTTGAAAAGAATTGAGCAAGTAAAGAACAAAGAGATTAAAGACTTTGAGATTAAGTCAGATAGAAATCTATATTGTAAAGGAAGAATTGTAATACCCGACAATGACGACTTGAAGAAAGAAATATTAACAGAGGCTCATTGCAGTCCGTTAACGATGCACCCGGGTGGAACCAAGATGTATATGGATTTGAAGGATCGATTTTGGTGGTCAGGGATGAAGCGAAGCATCACAGAATTTGTGTCTAAGTGTTTGATATGTCACAAGTCAAAGCCGAGCATCAAGTTCCATCAGGATTATTGCAACCGCTTTTATTCCTCATGGAAGTGGGAAAATGTTACGATGGATTTTGTTTCGGGGTTACCCTTGACTCCGAACAAAAGAGAATCAATCTGGGTAATTGTTGACCGATTAACTAAGTCAGCGCATTTCCTCCCTGTTAGAACGGATTCTCTATGGAAAGTATGCAGAGCTGTATATTAGAGAAGTTATTAGATTGCATGGAGTACATGTTTCCATAGTCTCTGATCGAGACCCTCGATTCACTTCTAGATTCTGGAAATCTTTGCATGGAGCGTTGGGGACTCGTTTAAACTTTAGTACGGCTTTTCATCCTCAGACTGATGGGCAATCAGAGAGAACTATTCAGATATTGGAAGATATGTTGAGAGCATGCGTAATGGAATTTAAAGGATCATGGGAAAAGTATTTACCGCTGGCAGAGTTCGCTTACAACAATAGTTATCAGTCTAGTATAAAGATGGCCCCATATGAAGCATTATATGGAAGAAATGTCGTACTCCATTAAATTGGTATGAAATCAAAGACCGAAGTGTTCTTGGTCCGGATTTAATTCAAGAGGTAGAACAGAAAGTTCGAGAAATTCAACATAACCTCAAAGTGGCCTCTGATCGGCAAAAGTCCTATTCTGATCTTAAAAGGAAAGAAATTGAATTTTAAGTTGGAGATAAAGTGTTTTTAAAAGTGTCTCCATGGAAGAAAGTGTTGAGATTTGGTCGAAAAGGAAAATTGAGTCCTCGGTTTATTGGACCATATGAGATTGTAAAGAGAGTAGGACCGTAGCATATCAGCTAGCTTTACCACCTGAGATGGAAAAGATACATGATGTCTTTCACGTTTCAATGCTTCGTAGATATAGATCTGACCCTTCTCATATCGTGACACCAGAAGAGATTGAGGTTCATCCTGACTTGACTTATGAGGAAGAACCGATTCAAATTTTAGCACATGAAGTTAAGCAATTGAGGAACAAGACCATTCCTTTGGTCAAAGTGTTGTGGAGAAATCACAGAGTAGAAGAAGCAACGTGGGAGCGTGAAGAGGATATGCGACATCAATACCCTCATTTGTTCGTGCAATGAAAAATTCGAGGACGAATTTTCTTAAGGGGGAGAGATTTGTAACATCCTCTATGTCGGGTGAGTGATTAATTTGCAAAGTTTCAACATTTGATGATTAAAGTAGAATAATTATATAGTTTAAAAAGTATGGTTAGTAAATATGAGATGGAGGTAGGGACCAAATGGTCATTTGTAAGGAAAATTTTAATAAAAAAAAATATGTTATGGGGATATATGAGAACCCACGTGGAGTATTAGGTTCCAGAATACTCTCATTCCTTCTTTCTTATTTCTTCTCTTCCTTCTCCAAACGTGGGCTTGCAATTAAAGGTAAGAATCTGAACCTTGGTAGTTTCTTTGATTTTTAAGATTGGAAATGAAAGCTTGGATGTTATATAAGCTAAAGGAAAGCTTATATGACATTAAAACAACAATAAGTGATTTAGAGTATGATTTGGAAAATGAGTTTTTAGATGAAATTTTGATATGGATGAGTTTTGATGTTTAAATCAGATTTTTGACTTGTCAAGAAGCTAACTAAGAAGTATGAGGTGTTAGAATTCAAATTAGAACATATTGGAATTTGGGTTGGATTCTTAAATTCTACATGGAGAATTAGATTTCTAGGTTTTAGAGGTATTTAATGGATAATAATCAGTTTAAGTAAGTGTATGAGAGCTAAGAGTAGTAAAGGGATTGAAATATGTAAGTTTGAGCTGAAATGGGATGATTTCCGAGCTCAAATTAGGATTTCAGGGTTAGGGGAATCGGTACCCATTCAAGGGGAACCGATACCCCCTCAACGAAATGAATTTCCAGAATGCTAGAGGGGAATCGGTACCCCCAGGGGGGAACCGATACCCCCTCATCGTATATGAAATTCCAGATTGCTTGAGGGGAATCGATACCCCCAGGGGGGGAACCGATTCCCCATGAGAAAAAGAAGAAGAAAGAAAAGAAAGCAAGACTAAGCTATAAATTCTTTAAATTAGTAAGCTATTAAAGCTTAATTTCAAGACATAGACGTCTGATGATCATCTTAAAAATTATGTTTATGTAGATACCGAGCCTACTCGAGTTCGGGAACAATCTACAAGTAGGATCGATCGAGGAAAAGGCAAAGAAGTATAGGTGAGTGCATATGCATAGCATGAATATAGTATTATATTCAGTTCTAGACTTGTGATAAGTTTAGATTCCATATTTTGACATATGATCACATTCCATATTATGATACATGACATGAATTTATATTATGTGTATTGCATGACATGAATATGCAGAAAAAGTTATATGAGCTATGTGATAAAGGTATGTAAATGATATGTCTATGTGATAAAGGTATGGAAATAATATGACTACGCGATATGAACTACGGGAAATGTATAAGCCCATGTTATGTAGATGAGAACTATAGGTATAGTTGGCATGCCAAGGGTAGAGGGTATACTCGGTTCTTTAGGACATATGTATATCCTTTGGAACCTGTGTGAAGTCTTGAAAGACACATACTTGATCCATAGTATATGTATATGATTCTTAAGGAATTCTACGTGGTCCTTATGGACATAATTCTACGGGCACTTCGGTGCAATTCTACGGGCACTTCGGTGCAATTCTACGGGGCACTTCGGTGCATTTATACGAGCTGTGGTGACAGCATAGTGCACAACCTCACATTACTCAAATACCTTAGGTTCTCAATATGCTATCATGGGCCAATAAACTTATTAATACAGAATAATGAATGTTACAGTCATACGCTTACAGGTATGGATATTGATGAAGTATACTATATTGATTAAGTACATGTTTGCATCTCATCTCATATGATCCTGACATTTTCATTACATTACATTGCCTTATTATTATTGCCTCACTAAGTCGATGACTTAGCGTGTGAGTATTTCACACGTAGGATCCGAGGAATTAGACGAGACAGGTGAAACAGCTTGACAGTATTACTCCTGCAACCATCAGATCAGAAGCAACTTAATCAGTAGGTCATTTTGTTATGTAAATGGCAGTTGGCATGTAATTAAAGGGTTAAGTTGTGTATGCTCTGAATATTTTTGTAAACTTATATTACAGTATGTATATTATTGTATTTTCTTAATATAAGTTCAAATATTTTACTATTATTTATTAAGAGTTATGTTTTAAAGTCGATGTAGTATCTCTGACTCATATCCGGGTCGGGTATGGGTTGGGGGTGTTACAAATAATATATCATTTATGACAAAGTAATATATGTACGTTAAACTTATTGAGTGATTTTAATACTAAAAAGGAATATTATTCTTTTTAAAAGATTTAAAAAAAATAGTTGTATCTATAAAATGTGTATTATCATAAATTAAGAAAAATATAAATAAATACTATTTTCTTAGTCTCCGGACTATATATACACATATACATATTTGAACCCTATGGATGATATAGATTTGTTGTAACAGAGGTCAAGTAATGATTTTCCTTTAGATGTTGAATTTATGTAGTACAAAAATTTAACCATTATAATTGTCATTGGTTTTTGGTATGGAGGTTGTCTGGATTATCGGTCGAACCGTCCAGAACCAACGTGTCTTTTGTGACCGAGCAATAAGTGGGCTCTCTTTTGCATTGATGGAGTTGTCGGCTCTCATTTGCATTGATGGAGTTGAGGTCCATGATTTTTCATTAATAATTTATTATTTTATTTAACTAAAATTTGACATAATAATAGTTTATAGTATTTCATTAATCTGATGCCTATGACGGGTACCTAAACTGAGACGCGAAACGACTTCATGCGTCGATGATGGTCTGTTTCACTCGATTTTTACTCCATTCGCCGGCTTATACCGCCTTTATTCATCTGCTACACACCCCTTTGAAGCTGGTTGCACGCTCTTGATGTACTGAAAATGGAGAAGAGATGTTAATTCAGGAATCTAGTCAATAATATAGGCAGTATATGCAAGATTATCGGTTCCCTCCTTATGCAAAACTCCCCTGTCAGCCTTGAGAGGAGGCGGATTCCACTTCTTTCTCCGCTCGTTCAATTCAGCATCTGTCAACTCAACGTTTATGGCCCTCTTCTGAACATCGATGCTGATGAGGTCCCCGTTTTGAACAAGACGGATGGAGCCACCATCCTATAAAATCAAATCCAATATCGAGCATCAGTAAAGACAAATAATCAGATTATATTCAGGGGGCATAAAGGTCCTAGTAATAACCGTTGTTGGTTAAACTCGGGTTAAGTGCATCACTTAAGAGTCATTCATTGGCATTGCAAAATTATCTTGCAATTCGAGTGAGAAATACCTGTGCTTCAGGGCATATGTGGCCTACAACGAATCCACGTGAACCTCCAGAGAACCTACCATCGGTGAGCAAAGCAACATCATGCAGTATTCACTTACAGCATTCAAACCAAATACAATTTTGAAAGGCACGAATTTTACACCAGCAGTTAGATCCCGTTCGAGTTGAAAATAAATTGTAGAGATGATAAAAGAGTCAAAAGCGAGGATTAGAAAGTTTTACAACATTTTAAAGACCAATTCAACTAAGTATGCTTCCAAGAATCACAGAGTTGATTGTAACAAATGAAAAAAAGGCGGTAATAGCCACATGGACTTGATGTCACGGTACCTTCCCAAGACCTGCTCCCATTATTGCACTTGTTGGTGTCAACATTTCAGGCATGCCTGGTCCTCCTTTCGGCCCCACCCCTCTAATGACTACTGCTTTTCCCTGGAAATTTACAAGTATAACCAAATATTTGGAGTTTAGCGAATGCAAATACATAAAAAAAATATTCAAACCCTCACCCTTGCCACTTTAAGACTATCAAATTAAGCAGACATAAAACAACTTCTCTCGTATTCAAATACTAACCAAAACCTCAGCACATGGAACGTCCACTCCGCTGTTAATAATAGAGAAACGCTATGCTGCTTTGACTCGCATACCTTAAAGCTCGAAGGATTTTCAGAGATAGCTACTAGCATAGCTTCCTCTCCTTCAAAGACAAGTGCAGGACCTAAAGAACAAATTTTACAATCATTATGTATGGATGCAGACTACATTCTTAACCATAAAATTGTAACAGTACAGTGACCAAGAAGCTCAAAGTTAATATTAGAAAGGAGAAAAAGAAAAGGCACCAGAGAAATAGAGTCCTTTTCCAGTAATTTTTGCTACAGAACCCTCTGGTGCAAGATTCCCTCTTAATATTTGGATGTGCCCTGTTTTCTTGATGGGATTGGACACTGGTTTTATGATTTCTTGGAAATGATTTTTGGGTACTGATCAGACTAATTGCACATTCCATTCATGGCATCTCGAAGTTAATATATAAATGGAGCCTAGCCTTTTTAGTGGAAAATCACCAGTACCAACTTGTCCATCAGGTAAACGAGGATAGCTTTGTGCATTTTCCGCCATTTTCTTCCCTGTCACTAGAGTGGAATTATCAGTGTATCAAATATTAAAAAAACTGAAAATTCAAGCTCTGAAATTGCAATAAACAACGAAATGAAATAGAATCAAATTCGACATACCAGTCATGCAATCCCCACCAAGATATCCAAGCTCCAAAAGATAACGAATCACAGCAGGAGTTCCTCCAATCTATCAAAATGTTTTTCCCCATTAGTTGAAATGATAGAATTGATAACATATACCAAGAAAGCCATTAATGACATGATTCATAAGGTCTGGAAGAAAAAGGAATCTTGAAAGAAAATATTGATGTAGAAGATCCGCTGCAGTTAATCTATACCTTGTGAACATCCTCCAAGACATATTTGTCACTGGGCTTCAGATCAGCCAGAAACGGAACCTCGTCACTAACCTTCTGGAGATCATCAAGAGACAATTCTAGACCTACAGACCTGCCATGAACAATTCCAAGATTCATTTCCCCAAATTATCAATCATTTCGAGGCCTAAGGGGTATCTGGCATAAATTCTCAGTTCTCACCTGCTATAAAATTATGCTGTCTCTCGACTAATAATAACTACCATTAAATTAATTCATAAAACGTATAATTATAAATTAGTTAAAATTTAAATGTAATTTAATTAAAATACAATATTTATAGAACATTAATTTTTATAATTTTATTTTAATTATAATTAATTTTAAAAATTTATAAACCCTAATTTATTTTTATTGTTTTGAAGCTCCCACTATCGTCGTCATCACCGCCCGTTGCCACCATTTTCATCATCAAATTTGGGGCTACCGCCGCCATTTTAGTCTTTATTGTTCATCGGTGGTGAAAGATGATATCGACGACAGCGGCGACGATGGTGGGAGCTTCAAAGCTATGAAAATAAATTAGGGTTTATAAATTTCCCAAATTAATTTGTGATCTAATTATAATTAAAATAAGATTATAAAAACTAATGTTTTATAAATAGTGTATTTTAATTAAATTATATTTAGATTTTTAACTAATTTATAATTATACGTTCAATATTTTATAATTTAATGTTTTATAAATTAATTTAATGGTAATCATCGTTAACCATGCTCATTTGTACTCGTCGAACGTGACATTATCATCCTATAAATAAATACTTAAGATTTAATATAATACATAATTGTTGTTCATTTTGATTTAATATATATATATATAACATGTCATTTTGATTTTATTTATTATTATGATATAAATACAAAATAATGTAAAGGACAAAAGAGAAACATCTCAATGCAATTAATTGTACCGAGCATCCCACTCCCATGGTACAGTCTAGAGGTGGGTATACGGGCTACCGTCTGTTTAGCCCGCGAATTTTGACGGTGCGGGTTTAAACGGAGCGGGTTAAAAGCCCGTATTTATAAACGGTTTTGAATTTTAAGGTCCGTGGTCCGTCCATTTAACCCGCGGGCTAAACAGGCTTACCTGCGGCCCGTTTAATAAAAATAATTTTAAATGCTTTAAATACAATAAAAAATAATGTTTTAACTTACTACACCTTTAAAAATGATCGAACAACTTGAAAATGAAGGTAGCACCGTCAAAATAATAAATAATATTTAATTTTTATTTTAAATAGCCGAAAATGATTATAAAATAATATTTTTTTAAATTTTTTTAATTATTAATATATATATAATGATATAATTACTTAAACTCAAATTAAAAAAACAATATTCACTTATATCACCAAATTGAAAAACAAATAAAACAATAACCACATTATACTTTTATAAAACACGATTATTCAAGGCTATAATATGAAGACACAGAAGTGTCTGAATTCTGAAAACAGAAATTCAAACATAAAAATTCAACAAACTCAAACATTATACAAATCTAACAAGAAAGTTGTCAAGTGGTCCTAATAATTGTATTTTATGGATACTTTATAGAAAGACTAAAACATAATATGAAAATATAAAATAAAATACTTACAGTATAAGAGTAAATTTGAAAGATACAGTTATACTAAAATTGATAAAATATAAGTCATTAATTTGTTAAAATATATTTATTTTGTAAAAGTCTTTAAAAGTTGAAAAATATGTTTTTAATTTTTTCTTTTACTTTTCTTTCTTATTTTTAATCCAAATATTACGTATCATGTAATATATTATTAGAATATCACGTGACTTTTTATAATTAAAGAACAAAATGTATAACATACTTCATGAAAAAAATAAAAGTCAAAATTAAATAAAAAAATCTTTAAATACCAAAATGATAATGATATATATTTAAATGAAAAAAATATCAAGCTGCGGTAAAATTATGACAAACGTCCTAATAAATTTAAGAACTACAATAGTTATAAGTAACATCATATTTATAGGTAATTTATTTCCTTTTTCTATAAAATTCTTTAAGTTTATTTTATCTAAAATTTTATGAATTTTAAACTAAGCGGGCTTTAGCGGGTTTCGCGGGTAGCCCGCGATTATACCCATTAAACCCGCGGTTTAACGGTCCGGGCTAAAAAGTCCGCAATTTAAACGATCTTCAATTTTTGAGGCCCGAAGCCCGCACGGATCGCGGGTTAAACGGGTAGCCCGCGGGCCTTAGCCCATATACCCAGCTCTAGTACAATCACATGCCTCTCCCCTCTTGGAGAGGAAGATGAATGAAGTTTGTAAAATGAAGAGTATTTTTTTAAAAAAAGTTAGGGGTGAATTTATAAAATTAACATTTTTATTATAAATGTGAATGATTCTAGTAGATTAGGTTTATGAAGTTCAGAGTATTTTCTATTGAAACGCATTTCAAATTCGTGTTCATGGGATAAAAAAGGAAAATACTTAAAATTTTAGGATTTAATAATCATTGATAGTTGCAGTCAACGGTGACCAATGATGAAAATTGAAGGTGGCCGGCAATGGTGATGAGCGACATCCAATGGCGAAGGATTTGACTAGATTCGTGAGTCAAGTTAATATTTTATTTAAAGTTCAGGGGTTAAAATAGTGTTTATATAGAATTTAGGTTCATATTAGTATTCTGCCTAAAATCATGAGTCAAGTTAAAAACGAAACATCTTTACTAACGTGCTACATCAACAAATTAAAGGGATTCAATAACTCAGTGACCAAAATAAAACCGAAAACAAAAGTGATTAAATATAACATTTTTAAAATCAATGATCAAAATAAGACAATTATAAAATAAAAGTGACCACCGCCATAGTTTATCCTTTAAACAAATAGCAGAAAGAATCCATGAAGAGGCATAAAGAAGACTACTAAAAATAGAAGACAGGCCACATTAATAACTGGCCATGGCACCTACCAAGGGTAAGCTTCTACTTTCCTTCACATGTCAAGTTGCCCTTATTAATTAATGTGACATTTCCCCTACATGAAGTCTTATTAATAACGTAGCCACGTAGGATTCAATTATTCGAAAGTTACTATTTGGATACATAAGAATGACATATTCTAGGTCTTGAGGACTGTTACTGATTTGGAATTAGCGGTGTATGGGTAGCTGGGATTACTAGCTCGGATAAACATGAAGTTATTTCTGCATTTTGATCGATATTACTGAAAATATTATGTCATTCTCTAAGGTTTGATTTGTTCTCCAATGTTCTATTGTTTGAACATTTACTTTATTTATTTGTACTGATAGACGATATTGAACTCTTTAATCCTTTTTTTTTATTACTCAAGATGTTAGAGTTGAAATTTGACATTCAAAGGATCCAAGCCTAATATTTTAATATATTTTACATAAACTTTGTACTATTTTCTTTCTATTATTTTTATTAGAATGTGTAATAAAATATTATTATATCGTTTTTATATAGGTTTCGAGTTCAAACAATTTTGTCCAAACAAATATTACTTATAATAATTAAGAAAGATTATAAATAAATACTACTTATAATCACCCGAATAATTATGTATATGAGATAGTATCATTAAATAAAATTAACATAATAATAATTTTAATCTTTAATTTTTTATTTTAATTTAATCGTAATTTTTTTATAGAAGTATCTAGTTTTATTAAAATAAAAAATATACAAATTACAATGAAGATTTACAATAGCAATTGTAAATTAAATACATAATAAGGATATTTTATTATAATCATTAACACAAGAAAACCTAACCAAATAACTCAAACAAAAGGTAGATATGAATAGATCTAACCTCATTGACAAACGAATCACAAAAGGAGATCAAACTATTTGAAAGACCATCGAAAAATTACAAATCAAAGTCGAGCGGCATGAAAAATTATCCACAAAAGCAAATCGCATATCCAAATCCAATATGAGGGTCAAAATAGGGAAGTTCAACGTGATAACAAAAAACGCCATATTGATCAGTCGTAACGATGTCAAGTCCAACATTAAGAAAAAAAAGATAAATAAAAACAACAACCAAACAACTAAAAACGCGTCATGCCATAAAAACATTTATTAAAAAATAAAAAATAAAAATAAAATACACTATAAAAAATAATAATAAATACCGACTTCAGTGACCAACATCAAAATTAGTATCGTCGTCAATAATGAAAAAAAATAGACTAACAATTGCAAAAATAAAAGAGAAACTTAGGGTGACAATGTTGTAAATAGTTTTATTGAATTTAACAATTTATCATTTTATTTATTTTTTCTCTTTCGTTATTTTTTGTTGTTGTTTTTATTATTCTCAAGATTTTACTCTAATTAATTTGAATCGACTCAGATTATACATTTAATTTTAATGAGTCATGAGTGAATATTTCAACGAATATTTTTTATATCCACAAAAAATAAAACTTAAAATATATTTAAATGATATTAAGTTCTTATTGCTTAAAACAAAAACTATTAAAAAAAATGTGTGGCATAGATTCAAACAACAATAAGGAAAGAAACGTACAATTCCATCGCATGTAAAAAAAAATCTTCTGCAATGTAATTAATGCACAAAAAACAAAATATCATTGGGTCATAATCAAAAAAGAAAACGGTAATAATAAATTTAGTAAGTTTTAAAATAAATAAATAAATAAATCTTCCACATTTTTCATCGGTTATAGGTTATTCCACTACAGACATAAATGTCGATTTCGTTGCAATTTAATGTTGTAAGAAATTGGATTTGAGTTTCTGTGTTGGAATCAATCAAAACTTCTGAAAGTGGCATTTCAAGAGACCAGGATTTTGGCAACAGTATAAAGTAAGTTCTCTTTATAATTTTATTTTTTTTATATATTTATTCGATTTAATTTGATATTTATTTATAAATATTATGAGAAGAGAAAGAAAAAATATTCGAGATTGAACTCAGAGTTTTTTAATAATTAAATTTACAATAAAATATATGTGAAATAGCTGAGAACGATTAAAATAGATTATTATGTTGGAATTTACATGTTAAAGACCAGTATGTACCAAGGGCTGGCAGGGGATCTTGTCTCCGATTTTTTCTCTATGATTATAAAATTGGGCAAACTTAGTATTTAGTTACCTAACTATCATTTTAATTTTATTTTGGTCATCTAACTAATTTTTTTAAATTGTCACTTACTAGACTTTTTGATTACATTTTAGTCATCAACCGTTTAAAATTAATAGTGTTGCTGACGTGTCACCATATGATAGTGTCACATTATCATTGAAAAATAAAAATATCATATTGGTAGTTATGTTAATTTTTTAACGGATGGTGACTAAGATGAAACCAAAATGTAACGTTAACGATGATTTTGAAGAAAAAAAGTTCGGTGACCAAAACGGAACTAGAGTGATAGTTGGGTAAACTACATATTAGTCACTCAACTATCATTTTAGTTCCATTTTTGTCACACAATTTTTTTTTCAAAATCATCATTAATGTTACGTTTTGATTCCATTTTAGTCACCTACCATAAAAAATAACATAATTGTTGATGTAGTATTTTAATTTTTTTCAATGATAAAGTGACATTACCTTATGGTGACATATCAGTAGCACCATTAATTTTTTAACGGTGAGTGATCAAAATGAAATCAAAACGTAACAAAATTATGTGACTAGATATGTAGTTTACCCATTTATAATTTATGGTGTTATAAGCCGGGGTCCAGCCGTATCGACATTCACTTTTAATAAAATTAAGTCTGGGTTCACTCTGGTCCAACCCACCTAAATTATTCATTTTTAAATGAATAGAAATATATATTTTTACTAATATTATAATAATTTTAAATAATACTTTCTAAAATTATATTCACGTGTTAGAAAAATTTATCCATATTTAGAATCAACCAGATTAAAATCAATTTATTTTTTAATAAAATGAAAAAAATATAATCTCTATGTATATTTTTAAAACAACTTTTCACCTAAAAGTCCCAATAATTTAAATTAAATGCATTATTGCTTCAAAAGAGAACTTTAGAATAAGGTTTAATCTCACCCATATGTCAAATTCCTCATATAATTAAAATTAATTAAATTAAACCCTTAATCTCTTAATTTTTATGGTTAATTACTTTTTAGAACTCTATTTATTTTAGAGTTAAATAACTTACCCCCATATTTCAATCATGACTCCATCCCTAGATCTATTAAGCATATCATGAAATATAAATTAAAATCATTTAAATTATTAGTTGATTATTTATTCATAGATGTCTTCATATGTCTAAGTTTAAAATTATATGGTAGATTCAATAGATTAAGTCATAATTTAAGAAAGATGATTATTATTTTTATTAAATGGAGATGTAATTATATTCTGAAGGTATCAGAGTTCAAACCTACACAAAATGAAATAATATTAACATGTTTAACCACTTAATCAATTAATAGATTTCAAGGAAAACTGATTATTGTTTTTCTTTTTTCGAGTAAACCGATTCGAATAACTGATTTAAGATCAGAGAAAAAAATGTTGGTAGAGGAATGTACGTACAGGAAGAGTCCACGTTAGAAGGAGGGATAGATAGATGTACCAAACTCATGTGTCACGTGCCACCGATCCTCATAACAAGTGTTTGGTTAATGAGACACGTACCTAATGCCTAATGGCATTTCTTAGGCACGTGACTCCCAGCTACCCCTGCCCCTCTTATTTATACGACCAAACCTCTGTTCAACTTCGATCATAACAACTTCCTTCCACAACCACTGTTACCGGCAGCTAACGCTTGGGTTGTTTTCTTTTATTTGCTAGAAAGAAAAAAAGGAAATGGTGACGGTCGAGGAGGTTCGTAAGGCTCAACGTGCCGAAGGACCGGCTACTGTGTTGGCGATTGGCACCTCAACTCCTCCAAATTGTGTTGATCAGAGCACGTACCCTGACTACTACTTCCGCATCACTAATAGTGAGCACAAGGTCGAGTTGAAAGAGAAATTCAAGCGCATGTGTAAGTTCTCCTTTTGTCTATGTATACATTCGTTTCGAAAATTTTAAATTTTCATATAATTTAGATATTTTCTTATTAATTTCTATTAATAAATTATTTTCATCACTAAAAATATATAAATTAATCTCTTAGCATAAAATCATGCGTTTATTCTTGTTGATTATTCTATAAATATTTAGCATGTTTTATGTAGAATGGCGATTTTGGTGTTCCGCACTTGGATTTTTGCATGAAACTGTGCACGTTTCATATCATTTTCATGCAGAGGCCTTGAAAATAAAGGTTAATTATTGTATTTATATAATAAAAAAGAGTATTTTTTAAATTATTTTAGGTGAAAAGTCCATGATCAAGAAGCGTTACATGTACCTAACCGAGGAGATTTTGAAAGAGAACCCCAATGTATGTGAGTACATGGCGCCATCACTCGACGCAAGGCAAGACATAGTGGTTGTTGAGGTGCCAAAGCTAGGCAAAGAAGCGGCCACCAAGGCAATTAAGGAATGGGGCCAGCCCAAGTCCAAGATCACCCACCTCGTGTTCTGCACCACCAGCGGTGTTGACATGCCCGGAGCCGACTACCAGCTCACTAAGCTTCTAGGACTCCGTCCGTCTGTTAAGCGTCTCATGATGTATCAACAGGGTTGCTTCGCGGGCGGCACTGTGCTCCGCGTCGCCAAGGATTTAGCCGAGAACAACAAGGGCGCTCGTGTCCTCGTTGTTTGCTCGGAGATCACCGCGGTTACTTTCCGCGGGCCGAGTGACACTCACTTGGATAGTCTCGTGGGTCAAGCGTTATTCGGCGACGGCGCTGCTGCTGTTATAATTGGTGCCGACCCGATACCCGAGATTGAAAAGCCTATGTTCGAACTCGTGTCGACGGCCCAAACGATATTGCCAGATAGCGATGGAGCTATCGACGGTCACCTTCGTGAAGTTGGGCTTACATTTCACCTCCTCAAGGATGTTCCTGGCCTAATTTCAAAGAACATTGAGAAGAGCCTTGTTGAAGCATTTAAACCTTTGGGCATATCAGATTGGAACTCTCTCTTTTGGATAGCGCACCCTGGTGGTCCAGCCATATTGGACCAAGTTGAAGCAAAGCTATCCCTCAAACCCGAAAAGCTACGAGCCACTCGACATGTTCTTTCGGAGTACGGAAATATGTCGAGTGCTTGTGTGCTGTTCATATTGGATGAGATGAGGAGGAAATCAAAAGAAGATGGACTAGAAACCACGGGCGAAGGGCTCGAGTGGGGAGTGCTGTTCGGGTTCGGACCCGGACTCACCGTCGAGACCGTGGTGCTCCATAGCATCACCGCATAAACTGGGGTTTAAAGACTCGTTGGCTTGCATGGGTAATCTATATCTGGTTTCACTTTCACTGTTTTTCTATTTTATTGTATTTTAGTTTAGCTTATGAATTTCGAATTTGTATGGTTATTTTAAGAGAGTTAAGCTCTCTTTGTTGTGCTAAATGGATGTAGAATTTATGTACCAGACTTATATTTATGGAAATAATAAATTTCAAATTTAAATGAAAAAACTTTTAGATTTATTTATTATTTTCTGTTTAACAATTCGATTAACTAATTCAAATAAAATAGAGTTAATTATATCATATTTCCCTAAACTATAACTCTCCTTTAAAATTGATTCTTAAACTTTTGAATATTCCAATTTTATCCCCAAATTCATTCAAACATGTAATTGGTTTCAACCATAATTTAACCTAAATTTTGTTTTTTTTTCAAACATATAATAATATAATTTGACCTAATGATTTTATTAACATGGGATGTGATTAGTGTATACATATAGCTTGAGATGAAATTGGAATGTTTAAAAACTTTAGGGACCAATTTAGAATGAAGGATATAGTTTAGAAATAAAATTGAAATGTTCAAAAATTTGAGGATTAATTTATAATAATAGTCATAATTTAGGGAAGAAATTAAAATATTTAAAAATTTAGAGACTAATTTAAAATAAAAATCGTATTTTGATAGTATGTGATGCAATTAATTCAATAAAAATATTTTAACAGTTTATTACAAGAATTACTTTCTCAATCTAATTTTCTCTGTTTATAATATTAAAATTTAGAGATTTCACTTAAAAAAAAATCTAAACTTTCATCTCACTAAATTAAAGCAGTCGCTATTACATTAACCTTATATCAGATTATACTCAAACTTTTGTAATTCCTTAATATTTCAAAGAAAGTAACTCAATCCATACTCATATTTTTAAATAGTTAACACTAATTCATTTTAAACTTGCTCATTATTTTAATTTTTTAGACGTATATACTATTTTTATTTAATATTTTATAATTTGTCTTAGGGGCTATTTTTGTAAACTTAATTTCTTATTTTCGGTTTATGGTATTTACACATCAATTTAGTCATCGAAGTTGTTTAGGGGTACCATTATAGCCTTTGAAATCCGTTGACTGATTTGACTAATAGAACCATTAGTTTTATGTTTTTGTGGACTAGAGAATTATGTTAAAATGTTCATAAACACCATGGATAGAAAAAATTATCAAAATTTTATTATTTATTTCAGTGATAATAAGGAATTATTTTAAAATTTTGAGGATTTTTTATAAACATTGTTTTTAATAAATATTTTATTATTAATTTTTAATAAATGTCACTTCGTCATCAAATCATGTCAGTAATATTGATTAGCGTGAAAATTACTGGCGTTCATAGATACAGAAGACTAATAATTATGTTAGTCAAAACAGACTTCAAGGGTTAGGATAATACCTCTAAACCACCTGGAGGCCTAAATTGATTCGAAAATATTATATGGACGAAAATGATTAATTGAGTTTACTACAAGGACAAAAATGACCCTTAAACCATAATTTTGTATATTTTTTTATTTAAACACTTCCCGAAAATTTGAACAACTTCTTTTAATGTTTACTTTACAATACTATATATTATTATAAACTTAATTTCTATGTGTCACAAATTCTACAATATATAAATCTTAAAAAATTTAATATATTGCAACTTTAGAAAACGTATCAGATAAGAAAACGAGCTTATATTTTTTTACCGAAAGTAATTACTCACTTTTTTTTATTAATTTTAAACAACATTTTTTAAATTTAAAAAACAAAAATTAAAGCATTACATCTTAGGAAAACTAAAAAAGAATTTCATGCGAGTGTATCGTCTCCACTCATGGCCGAATTGCGGAGCATCTATGAAGGGCTTCAAATGGCGTGGATTTTTGGTGCTGAGCTTGTCCAAGTTCAGTCTGATAATCAGCAAGCTGTGCAGCTCCTCCTTGATCCGAATGGCTGCTGCGCCACTCTTCCCCCGCTTCGAGACATCAATGGGCTCCGCTCCCGTTGTTGGTACACTGATTTAGTTTGGGTCCCCCGTGAGGAGAATATGGCTCTTTAAAGTCATCTTACTCCCCTCAAAACCTTAAGTTTCTTAGATTATGTGGTAGTCATCGGCCTCCTTTTGTCAATGTCGTCACCGTTTGACGTTATTTTGATCGTTGTCATCTCTAATCACAACACCTATTATACTTAAAAGCTTTATCATCTTCTCACAATTGTCAAACTATTTATCACCATTATTCTATTCAAGTCTCAAACACTATAACCACGGGCCATTGTCGTTGCAAATATCTTTATGCGCATATGTTGAGTTGTGAAGCTGTGAAAGTAATGGAATCCATTAGAAACATTTAAAGCAATCTGAATTCTAAAATTTCATACATGGAATCAATCTATACAAATTCTAACACATAAAACTTGACCAATGCTTGTGCCTTAGATAGTAAATATACTATATTACTTTGCACTTGCATGCATGGATCATGGAGTTTAAACCTGATTCTGTTTTCTTTCATCTGGCTGAAGTGCACTAATAGTGCATTCTTTCACCTCAAACTTTTTTATTTTTGGAGTTTTCTTTTGTACCTTAGTATTAAAATAATCAAGTCGAATTTGTTTTATGACAGGAAGATGAGAAAAACTTGATGAAATAGTAGTGATGAATGTTTTGAGGGTCATAAGAAGATGGTGAAACTCTTGAGTATAATAGATGTGTTTAATGGTGGCGAAACATTAGAGAGTGACAGTGCAGGTAAAAAAAGACCGACGACTATAAAATAATTTGAAAAGCTTAGGGTTTAGGGAAAGCCACTTTAATGTGTAATTTCTTAACCACAATTGATGGTGGTGACCGTAATGGATGTAAATTAAAAATATGGTGACTATAAAGTAATTTTTTAATAATTTAGTAACCTAAATACAGATGTCATAAAAGTTTGATGACTATTTTTATAGTTTACCCTAAATATAAAACAAAAGAAACGAATTTTTCCTTTTCCTTTTCTCTTGTAATTATATTTAGGGTAAACTATAAGTTAGTGCCTAAATTATTACTTTTGTGCTGTTTTGATAATTAAACTTTATTTTTTTAAATCATACATAATGTTTAGTTTAAATTTCAATTTGATATCTATCATTAAAAAATGAATGGAGTTTTTAATTTTTTTCAATAATGACATGACATTTCAATTTGGTTACATGTCAACATCACCATTAAGTTATTAACCTATAGTTTTGAAACAAAATAATGTCTAGATACCAAAACGGAACAAAATTAATAGTTTAAGTATTAAATGTGTAGTTTATCCTTAATTTTGAAACTTGCAATCACCTTAACCATACTCTCAATTTCAAATTAAAAAAATCAACCTTTCTGAGATCCTTCTTCAACTCTGTACAAAAAGGAGTAACTTGGGTACTTCTCCTTTTCAGATTTTTAATACTTTTCATTTTTTTTTTGGTTGGGTTTTCTTGAAAGGTGGGGGTTTTCTTTACTTTCTCGGATAGAGATTCTTTTCTTCGATTATTGTCCCATCATTTTGTATTTTTTTTTAACTTCTTTACCATATTCCCCACCTGGGTTTTTTTATGGTATAATTATTTTTAATTTTATTTCACACACCCACATGCATGTTCTTCAGTTTGTCTGATCTGGATTGGATCGAAGTTGTTATTTTTCCTACTTTAAAGAAGTGTGCAGAGAGAAACAGAAAAAAAGCTCTCTTTGGTGGGGTGTTTTTCTTGAAAATTTTGCCTTCTTTCTTTTTGTGAGCGATCTTTGTTTGCTTAGAAAGAAATGAAGAGATAAAGAACCAGGTGAGACCTTTTTTCCCCTAAAGTTCATATCTTTTTTATCTCTATTTTGGGTCCACTGAAGGTTCTTTTTTTGTTCCCCTTCTTGTTTATGGTATGATAGTTACTGATAACTGTGTAATGTTGCATTTCCATGTGGGTGGGATTTTACTTGCGTTTGATTGGGTTTTAGCCAATATCACATTTGTTTATGGATTGTTTTTGTTTCTTCTTAATTTCTCATTTGTTTGAATTTGTTGGCTTTTAGGGATGAAATTGATTGTTATAATACTTTTGGGGTTTGATAGCAATTTTTTGAATTTGTTGGTTTGTAGGGATGGATAGTGCACTTTCTTGCTTGTGTTGTTAGTGGATTTTAGGTTGAAATTGTGTATTCTAATGTTAAATGATTGAATTGTGCTTTCTTAGGAGAATTAGACTTGGGGTTGATAGCATATTTGGATCCCTGAGGTATGGCCGGTATCGATGTTTCTAAGTATGCACATAGCCCTGTGCACAAAGCTGTTGTGATGAGGGATTATGAAAGTCTCAGGAGGATACTCGAGGCCCTCCCACGACTTGGTAATGCGGACGAGATTCGATCAGAAGCAGCCTCATTGGCTGAGGAAGCAAAGGCTGAAGAGATCGCTTATGTGATTGATAGGCGTGATGTTCCTAACCGAGATACCCCTCTTCACTTGGCTGTTAAACTCGGTGATGAAACTGCAACTAAAATGCTTATGACTGCTGGTGCTGACTGGAGCTTGCAAAATGAACAAGGATGGAGTGCACTTCAAGAAGCAATTTGTAATAGGGAAGAGGCTATTGCGATGACTATTGTTCGGCACTACCAGCCATTGGCATGGGCAAAATGGTGTAGAAGATTGCCTCGTTTGGTGGGAACCATGCGAAGGATGAGAGACTTTTACATGGAAATCACATTCCATTTTGATAGTTCTGTGATACCTTTCATCTCACGAATTGCTCCTTCGGATACATATAAAATTTGGAAGAGGGGTGCAAATTTGAGGGCTGATATGACTTTGGCTGGATTCGATGGATTTAGAATTCAGCGTTCAGATCAGAGTATTCTTTTCCTTGGTGATGGTTCTGAGGATGGTAAGATTCCTCCCGGATCGCTTTGTATGATCTCTCATAAGGATAAAGAGGCGATGAATGCTTTGGATGGTGCTGATTCTCAAGCAACTGAAGAAGAGGTTCGACAAGAAGTGGTTGCAATGTCCCAGACTAGTATATTCAGGCCTGGGATAGATGTAACACAGGCAGTTCTTTTGCCACAACTGACTTGGAGGCGACAAGAGAAAACGGAAATGGTAAGTGCCTGGAAGGCTAAGGTGTATGATATGCACAATGTTGTTGTTAGCATCAAATCTAGGAGGGTGCCTGGGGCCATGACAGATGACGAATTCCTTGCAACGTCCAATGGAAATGAAGCAGAGAATGAAGAGCTTGATGAGATCCTGACTGAAGATGAAAGGAAACAACTTGAAGTTGCTCTTAAATTGGATTCTAAAGAAATATCTAACGAGAATGATGATGGCGTTATTGGGCATCGTCATAGTTGTTTTGATTCCCGGGAAATTCCAATCGAGGAAACCAATGGTTTGAAAAATGAAGAGACTAAGCAGGAAAAGAAAGTATGGTTTGGTGGATGGAGGAAAAAGAATCCAAAGCATGAAGAGCAGAGGAAGATTGCACCACCTAGAAGTTCATTCTGTGTAGATGAGAAGGTGAGTGACTTACTAGGAGACTCTCCTTCGGGAAGTCAGATAAAACCTGGTAGACATTCCGTGGAGATTTCGGCAACAGATGATCATCGAAGGATAAGAGATTCGAGAATTTCTTCTTCCACAAGTTCTGAGACTGGTAGTCGGCGTAAGGATAGTGGCCGGGAGAATGAGTATAAGAAAGGATTGAGGCCTATTCTTTGGCTCTCTCCGAACTTCCCACTGCAAACAGAAGAACTCTTGCCATTGCTAGACATTCTTGCCAACAAGGTCAAGGCAATTCGTCGGTTGAGAGAACTGCTCACGACAAAGCTTCCTGCTGGAACCTTCCCGGTCAAGGTTTGTTGTTCTTTTGACTGTCTGATTGGGTCCTGTTATTATCCTGTTATATGAACTCTTCAGTAATGACTTCTGTACTTGTGACTGATTTCAATGGGGCATATGATACATAATACGTTTCTGTGGGAAAACATTTCCCTCTAGAGGGTGTGGTTCGGGAAGACATAAATGTTCCTGTTATTATCCTGTTGATGATTTTTGGCATGTATTTTGAGGCTTGTTTATCCATGACTTTTGTGATCCATTACATTAGAGCTTTTAGCGTGTTACTGGGATGAGTGGATACTTTTCGAAATTAAGATTTTAGGACTGGAAGCTACATTGGGCTTATTCTTGACTTATGTAGTTTTTTAAGACTGTTTTTCGTATCTTTTTGCCTGGTGTATGATCAGATCCTTTCCTTCCATCTAATGATGCATAGGCTTGCTAGATGAATGGAGATATAGTTTCATTCTTACACATTAATGGTGCCAGTATACCCTACACATTCCTCAGTTTTGGGGATTTCTTCAAAAAATAAAAGAAAAAAGGAGGTGGTTAAGTAAACTCGTTTCTGCTGCCACTTTTGTTTCCATATGCACGATTCTCTAAGATTTTGACCTGAATGAGTTCTCATGGTTGTACTTAGGTTGCTATCCCGGTGGTTCCCACAATCAGAGTATTGGTTACTTTCACGAAGTTTGAAGAACTACAGCCTGTGGACGAGTTCTCAACACCTCCTTCAAGTCCTTCAGCTGCCCAAGAAATTCCTGCAGTGACACAGGCCTCGGGTTCATCTTGGTTTCAGTGGATAAAGACACCATATCAACGCCCTAGTTCATCCAATAATAGCGACGACAAGCCAGAAAATCTTCAAGATCCATTTGCAATACCTCCAGATTACACTTGGATTACAGCTGAAGCAAAGAAAAAGAAGATGCAAGAGAAGAGCAAGTCAAAGAAAGGTAAGAGTCAGACTCATTGAAGTCGGGCTATGATCCAGTTGTTAAAACAAGTTCCAGGTTTCCAAAATAATTTAGTGTTTCATTATCCGTAGAAATCGTGTTCCGTTAACGAAAAAAAAAGAGGAATAGGGAAATAGATACTTGGAGCTATGCTCTAAGAAGTGTGGATATTCCCTTCTGTCATGGGAAAATTTGATTGTGGGGGTGGAAAATAGGTGGGGGGAAAAAAGGCATTTTGTGGGATGTTAGTATCTTGGATTAGTAATTTACATCATTTACTTGTGACCAACTTGTGGCTACATACAATTACTGACAGAGTTGGCACTGTTTTATTTCCAATATCGGTATTATTCGTTCCCATCGAACGATGTAACGAGTTACTCGGTAGAGTTATTGGCCATAATAGTTATGTAGGACCATTGGCTGCGAGGTCGTTTGAGTATTTATGCTATGATTGTGGCAATGAGCAAAGATTTCGTTTCGAGTTCTCTTTATTTGAGGTCATATACAAGGATCTGCAGAACTTGAAATTTCTGGGAAAATTTTCATTACTATTTTGTATATGATTTTGAGCTCATTTGGTCACAAGATTCACTTGCCAAAGGGACCACTTACACATGCACCTGTTTTGCAATAATTATGACCCAATTCGCTCTAGTTTTAGAGGGGTCCCTGCCCTATATTTAAAGACATGATTGAGCAATGAAGGCTCTTGTGGGCACTACGAAGCAGCAATTATCATTTTTCATGCCATTCCTCAACAATTAAACAAATCTACTAACTTCCACAAATTTGGCTGATTAATTGTAAATGAGAAAGCAACATTGCTGTACTAATTGCAGTAGACTAGTAGAGTATACTCATGAAGATCTTTATGATTTTCATAAATTACTTCATTTTTTATGGGACTTTACCCTATCAGAAAATGTTGTTGCCTTCATACACGAGTTCTTGACTCGTTCTAGCTCTCATCTGACTCGCTTTGGATTAATCATTTAAAGATGAGTATGTTAAAATAAAATATAAAATTAAATATAGGATCACCGAACTTAAACATACATAAATAATATTAAGATAAATTATAAATATAGTACCCTAACTATTATTTTTATTTCGTTTTGATCACCTAACTATTTTTTTAAAATCATATCTAATGTTTAGTCTTTGTTTCATTTTGATCACCTACCGTTAAAAAATTAATGGTGAAGTTAATGTGTCTCCATAAGAAAATGTCACATCATCATTGAAAAAAATTAAAAATGTCACATAATTCTGTTAATTTTTTAACGGTAGGTGACAAAAATGAAAATATTAAGTACAATTTTGAAAAAAAAAGTAATTGGATGATCAAAACGAAACAAATGTGATAGTTGAGATTAGGGATTTAAATAGCGTTAGCGGTCGCGTTTTTTATCGCGTAGCGTTTATCGCGGTTGTGGATATAACGGATACCATCGCGGCCACTGAGGGTGTCGCGCTCGTGATTTTTTTTAAAATTTTCACACAATTTACCCTAAAACATAATAATTATAATTATAATGTTAAGGAGTGACCAAAATAGTAGCAATCTGAAAGTTTAATGAGTAAATTGAAAAATTTTAAAGTTCAATGAGTAAAATAGGAGAGAGTAGAAAGTTAAGTGATGATTTATGTAGTTAACCCTAATTAAAAAGAATAGAAAGTTAAGTGACCCGAATCAGTTCAGTCCTATACCTTTTCTAGTCATCTCCTACCTCCTTTTCTAGCCATCTCCTACCTCCTTCTCCCACTGCTTCATCCCACTATATTCTTTTTATTCCCCCAAACAAATGGATTAAATGAGTTTCACCGGATCGTTATATTAAACTAAATTCTCTTTTATTCTATGATTTTTCCAATCCATGTAAAAATAGGGGAGCAACCGCTCCAGTGCAGGGGTTTCATACTTTCATTTTTCACCGGTTTTGACTCCTCGTCTCCTCCCTTGTTTTCTCTTTGGCCTCAACTCTTTAATCGTTTATTTTCTCACGAGCCACGACTGAAGTTTGGTCGATTGAGCACATATCTTTCTCTTTGGCCTCCCTTGTTTTTGCTTGTTTTTTTAAGTCACGGTTGAATAACGGGGATAACGTCCTGTTATCGACGCTATTTACTGTTGAACGCTAAATTACGGCCGCGACAGACCGTTATTATCATGATTCCGTTGCCTACCGTGATTTTTCCGAATATTGGTTTCGAAAGGCGACGCTACCGCAAAATCACGACCGCTATCGCATTTTCGGTCCGCTATTTACACCCTCGTTGAGATGCTAAACGTGTAGTTTACCTATAATACGACTACTATAGGTTGAACCGTTAAGATATAGTGTAAGTGCATGGTGAAACCGCTTCTTACTCCCTTACTTGAAGCTGATCCTTCTACTGATTTACTATATATGGCCAACCTTTCCCTATATACACTTTGTTTCTTTTGATATATATAATCAACAAACAAAAACAAATAAAAAGAATAAAAAGGGAATATAAATTTTCCAAAAGATTGAACTGATTATTTGTCAGTATAATTCAATCCTTTTTAGATAAACATGGGTTTTTCTAGTTATTTCGGTGTGATCGTCGTCTTGTATGTTCTTTTTCTGAATGTTCTTGCCATTGTCGATGAGCTTGATCATGTTAATGAAAATGAAAACAATTTGCTTCAGCGTCCATCTGATCAACAAGAGATGATGGAATATAAAGGGAACAGGAGATCTTTGACACTTTTGTTACCTGCATTGATTGGTGCTGGTGTTGTTGCTGCTGGTGCTACTGCTGCAGGTGTCGGTGGTGCCGCTGCTTTAAAACACGCCGCGGCGATGAGAGAAAGAAAGCGGGTCGAAGCCCAAGGCGACGGCGGCGGAAATGGTGGTGGTGGTGGTGGTTTTAATTTTGGAGGTCACATAGGAGGTAATGGTCAAGGTAATGGTGCTGTTCCTGATGGTGGACCTGGCAACCCTAATGTTGGTGGTGGCGGAGGTGGTGTGAATGCTGCCGGAGGTGGCAATGCTAATGTTGGTGGTGGTGGAGATGGCAACCCTAATGTTGGTGGTGGAAGTGGAGACGCCGGTGCTTCTGCTCAGGCTCGTGCTAAGGCTGAAGCTGAAGCTAGAGCTGCTGCTGGTGGAGGTGGAAACGCTGGTGCTTCTGCTCAAGCTCATGCTAAGGCTGAAGCCGAAGCTAAAGCTGCGGGTGGTGGTGGTAGTGGAGGAGGCGCTGGCGCTAGTGCTTCTGCTCACACAAACGTGCATGTTCATGTCCATGTTGCAGGAAAAGGAGGAGCTGGAGCCGGAGGAGACGACTGATGCACAGAATAAGTAAAACTCAAGTACTACATCCTAATTACACATCTTTAACAAGAAAAGATTTTGTTCGAGTTTCACACTTTTATTCTGTGGAACATTAAACAAGTTTTAGCTTTGATCGCGTGGCATGCGTTATAATTTTTGGAAGTTGTTTTTATATATCTTCCTAATATTAATATTTAAATTCACCTTCAATATTTTTTTAATTGAATAATTATTTTGATCAAAATAATATTTTTTAGATGAAAATTATTTATTATTAATCAATATTTATTAATGACGTAATTTTTTCAAATGTGTTTGATTATCGACGTAATATGTATTACATTAACAAAAGTAATTATGTAACATATATTATATTGGTAGAAGTGATGACATTATATATGTTATGTCAATAAAATTGATAATATGACATATATCTCATACCAACAACTAAATAAATGCTAAAATATCATTTCAATAACAAGTGTTGATCATTAATCAATTATGGTTTTAATATAAAAAAGGGACTATTTTAATTAAAAAATTCAAATTCTAAAAGCTAAAATATATTTAAAAAAAGGATCAAAGTGATTATTCTATCAAATCTTAAAGATATATTTAACATTATATCAAAAGAAAAAAAAAGTAGCAATAAATTATATTACACTCTCATGAGGAAATTTCGAGTTTGAACTTTAGAAATTACATTGTTGTAGATTTAATCCTTATATTCAAAATTGACCATTTTTAATACTTGTACCTTTTGAATTATGAAGATTTAGTCTCTATCCAAACAAATACGAACCAAACGACTTTAGTGGTTGAAAAAATTATTATTATCCCTTGAAATTTCGGGTTTAAACCCTGCATATATATGAATATGAGCGTTAGTTGTCAAAAAGTATATGGATTAAAATCATTAAACTTATCTTCTATTTATTTTTCAAAATACTTTTGTTCTTAACATTTTAATTTTTGTCAAAAGTATTGATTTTAAATGAAAAATCATTAGTTGAAAATTATAAACATGTATATTTACTCCCTAAAAGGACAATTTTGATTTAATCTTAAAAATCATAAAATAAAAGTAAATAAAATAATTTTTTGTTCGGAAAAACTTTATTATATTAGATAAAAATAAAGGACCTAACACACAACTGGATAAAAAACAGCCAGAAGATTCATTATAAAAAGATCAAACGCCTCACCCATTCGAAACATCTATACGGTAACACACCTTCCCAAGTTGACAAAAAAAAACAATATTAAAATAATAATTTAGCTCTCATATATATTGGACTTAATTGAAAAATTGCCTCGTAAATTATATGATTTTTCCCAACTTCATATCTAAACTTTTTCTTTTATAATGTATCTTTAGAAATTTTAAAGTCTCGTATAATTTAGGCATTTTTTATATTTTATTGATATTCTAAATTTGTACATTTTGAAATTTTATAATTTCGCACCTCTAAATTTTTAATATAAGTTTTTAAGTCCTTATCCTTTAACATAAAATCATGTGTTCTTGTGTTGATGTTTTCCATTTGTCTTGCTGTTATTCTGGATGGTTCTTTGTCTTGAGCTGATTATTTACTGGTTTTTGTTCCTTCCGGTGCTGCTTGCTATTTTGTGATTGTCTTCCATGGAATGGAAATGTGTGCCTACTGCTCCTCGTAGCTGGTGTTGTTGTGCCCCTATGTGGGCTGTGTTTTTCTTTGGTTATTGTTTCCTTGTGTGTTTTTGACCTTTCAAATATAAATAAAATTTTGGGCACTCTTTATCTGCTTTCGCTATCTCTAGTTGAGATTCGTTTTGATTTATATTTGACGATCTTTTAAGATTCATATAATTACAATAGAAAAATATTAATTAATCAAATCCTTTAACAATATCTACGATTCATTTTATAACATTATGAATGAAATAAATTAAATTAAGAGAGTTATTCTATAATAAATTTTAATAATTTTTAATATAAATTAATCAGTCAAGGAACTAAAATCGATAACCATACTAATAAAATAAAACATTTAAGAATACATAAAGCGATGGATAAATACAATCGCAATACATAATCCTTGTCATGACCAACTCATTAGTAAGGTTTTGTTGATGGGAACAAGATGATTATATCAATCATAAACTGTTCACTTCTTTTGATTTAGATAAAGAATCATTATCAATGATTAAAATTGAATTCATCCCTAACGAAATATAATTCAATTTTAAGTACATTTCCAAGAAAAAACCTTTATAATTGAATCAATAATTTAATTTAATCTTAATACAAAATTGAAATGTAATTTAATCATATCACTAACTGTTTAATCCAAAAATCAAATGAAATATTCAATTCCACCTAACGCCAATTTCGTTTAGAGTGAATGGTGCGACTATTTCTTGCTCCCTTGCTTTAAGCTTGGCCTTTTGTAGTCTTCTATGTGAACTCAACCTCTCCCTATATAAACTTCATTCCTTGAGAGCGTAATTAACACGAGAAGGAAAAGAAATAAAACAGAATAAAGAATAAAAGGGAGTTTCTCAAAAGATTGAAACCATCTTCACAACTCCTTATTTGTTTTATCATTAGAGATCCTTTATTGAGAGTTAATTTTTGCTTAAGATTCTTGGCAAGATGGGTGTTTTTACTTCTTCCGTTGCAGTTATTCTCTTGTTCGTTCTGTTCATAGATGGTCTTGCGATTGCTAATAATCAAAATGTTGATGAAAAAGAAGAAAGTTTACTACAAAGTTCTAATTTGTCTGAAGAAATGACAAAGACTAAAAGACATAGGAGGTCTTTAACATTTCTTCCTATAATAGCTCATCGAGGTGGTGTTGGTGGTTATGGTGGTGGGGGCGGTGGATACAATTTTGGTTTCCGAGGTGGATTCGGAGGAGGATTTGGCGGATTTGGTGGTGGAGGAGTTGGTCATGGGTTTGGAGTTGGGGCAGGTGGATTGAGAGGAGGATTTGGCCATTTTGGAGGTGGACAAGGAAACGTTGGTGCATATAGTGGTGGAAGTGGTGGTGCTAATATCAAGGGTGAAGTTAGAGGTAGTGGAAGCGGGGGTGTTGGTGCTGCTAGCCAAGCTGAAGCTAATGTTGGTAGACATGACAGTGTTAGTGCTTCTGCTGGTGCTAGTGCTGAAGCTAATGCTGGTAGAAGAGGTGGCGCTAATGTTGTTGGAAAAAGTGAAGCCAATGTTGGTGGATATGGTGGCGCTAGTGCTTTTAGCAAGGGTGAAGCCAGTGTTGGTGGACATAGTGGCGCCAGTGCCTCTGGTAATGATCAAGCTAACGTTGGTGGACATGGTGGGGCTAGTGCTTCGTCTAAGGGTGAAGCTAAAAGCGGTGGAATTGGCGGTGCTAGTGCTTCTGGTAGTGGTCAAGCTAATGTTGGTGGAAGTGGCAGTGCTAGTGCTTCTAGTAGTAGTCAAGCCAATGTAGGTGGAAGTGGTGGTGCAAGTGCTTCTGGCAGTGGTCAAGCTAATATTGGTGGAGGTGCCAGTGCCGGTGCTTCTGGAAGTGGTCAAGCTAATGTAGGTGGAAGTGGTGGTGCCAGTGCTTCCGGGAAGGGTGAAGCTAAAACTGGAGGAAGAGGGGGTGCTAGTGCTTCAGGAAGTGGTCAAGTTAATGTTGGTGGAAGTGGCAGCGCCAGTGCTTTTGGAAGTGGTCAAGCAAATGTTGATGGAAGTGGAGGCGCTAGTGCTTCCAGTAAGGGTGAAGCTAAAAGTGGTGGAAGCGATGGCGTCAATGCTTCTGGCAGTGGTCAAGCTAATGTTGGTGGAAGTGGTGGTGCCAGTGCTTCTAGAAGTGGTCAAACTAATGTTAGTGGTAGTAGTAGTAGCAGTGCAAGTGCTTCCAGCAAGGGTGAAGCTAAAAGTAGTAGAAGTGGTGGTGTCAGTGCTTCCGGTAGTGGTCAAGCTAAGGTTGGTGAAAGTGGTGGCGCCAGTGCTTCCGACAGTGGTCAAGCTAATGTTGGTGGAAGTGGAGGTGCTAGTGCTTCTGGAAGTGGTCAAGCTAATGTTAGTGGAAGTGGTAGTGCCAATGCTTCTGGGAAGAGTGAAGCTATTGTTGGTGGTAGTGGTAGTACAAGTGTTTCCGGTAAAGGTGAATCTAAAAGTGGTGGTGCTAGTGCTTCTGGCAGTGGTCAAGCTAATGTTGGTGGAAGTGGTGGCGCCAGTGCTTCCGGAAATGGTCAAGCTAATATTGGTGGAAGTGGAGACGCTAGTGCTTTCGGTAAGGGTGAAGCTAAAAGTGGTGGAAGTGGTGGTGTCAGTGCTTCTGGCAGTGGTCAAGCCAATGTTAGTGGAAGTGGCGGTGGCAGTGCTTCCGGCAGTGGTCAAGCTAATGTTGGTGGAAGTGGTGGTGCTAGTGCTTTTGGGAAGGGTGAAACTAATGTTGGTGGTAGGGGCAGTACAAGTGCTTCCGGCAAGGGTGAAGCTAAAAGTGGTGTAAGTGGTGGTGCTAGTGCTTCCGGCAGTGGTCAAGCTAATGCTGGTAGAAGTGGTGGCACTAGTGCTTCCGGTAAGGGTGAAACTAAAAGTGGTGGAAGTGGTGACGGTAGTGCTTTTGGCAAGGGTGAGGCTAATGTTGGTGAAATTGGCAGTGGCGGTGCTAGTGCTGCTGGCAAAGGTAAAGCTAAAAGTGATGGTAATAGTAGTGCTAGTGCTTCCGGTAGTGGTCAAGCTAATGTTGGTGGAAGTGGTGGTACCAGTGCTTTTGGTAAAGTGAAGCTAAAAGTGATGGCAATGGTCGCACTAGTGCTTCCGGTAGTGGTCAAGCTAATGTTGGTGGAAATGGAGGCGTTGGTGCTTCTGGAAGTGGTCAAACTAAAGTTGGTGGAAGTGGCAACGCTAGTGCTTCCGGTAAGGGTGAAGCTAATATCGGTGGAAGTGGATCCGCCACTGCTTCCGGAAGTGGTCAAACTAATGTTGGTGAAAGTGGCGACGCTAATGCTTATGGAAAGGGTGAAGCTAATGCTAGTGGAAGTGGTGGCGCTAGTGCTTCCGGCAAGGGTGAAGCTAATGTTGGTAGAAGTGGAGGCACTAGTGTTTCTGGAGGTGGCCAAGCTAATGTTGGTAGAAGTGGAGGCGCTAGTGCATCTGGCGGTGGTCAAGCTAATGTTGGTGAAAGTGGTGGTGCTAGTGCTTCTGGAAGTGGTCAAGCTAATGTTGGTGGAAGTGGTAGTGCCAGTGCTTCCGATAAAGGTGAAACTAAAAGTGGTGGCGCTAGTACTTCCGAAAGTGGTCAAGCTAATATTGGTGGAAATGGTGGCGCTAGTACTTCCAGAAGTGGCCAAGCTAATGTTGGTGGAAGTGGCAGTGCTAGTGTTTCTAGAAGTGGTCATGCTAATGTTGGTGGAGGTGGTGGTACTAGTTCTTCTAGAAGTGGAGCAACTAATGTTGGTGGGAGTGACGGTGCTAGTACTTCTGGTAGTGGTAAAACTAATGTCGGTGGAAGTGGCAGTGCTAGTGCTTCTGGTAGTGGCCAAGCTAATGTTGACGGAAATGGCAATGCTAGTGCTACTGGAAAGGGAGAAGCTAATGTTGGTGGAAGTGGTGGCACTAGTGCTTCTGGAAGTGGTCAAGCTAATATTAATGGAAGTGGAAGTGCTAGTGCTTCCGGCAAAGGTGAAGCTAAAAGTGATGGGAATGGTGGCGCCAGTGCTTCCGGGAGTGGTCAAGCTAATGTTGGTGGAAGTGGAGGCGCTAGTGCTTCTGGAAAGGGTGAAGCTAATACTGGTGAAAGTGGTGGCTCTAATGCTTCCGGCAAGGGTGAAGCTAATGTTGGTGGAAGTGGTGGTGCTAGTGGTTCTGGAAGTGATCAAGCTAATATTGGTGGAAATGGCGATAATATTGCTTCTGGCAAAGGTGAAGCTAAAAGTGGTAGAAGTGGCAGCGCCAGTGCTTCCGGAAGTGGTAAAGCTAATGTTGGTGGAAGTGGTGGTGCTAGTGCTTCTGGAAACGACCAAGCTAATGTTGGTGGAAGTGGCAGTGTTAGGGCTTTCGGAAGTGGTCACGCTAATGTTGGTGGAGGTGGTGGTGCTAGTGCTTCTGGAAGTGGAGCAGCTAATGTTGGTGGGAGTGGCGGTGCTAGTGCTTCTGGCAGTGGTAAAGCTAATGTTAGCGGAAATGGCGGCGCTAGTGCTTCTGGTAGTGGTCATGCTAAAGTTGATGGAAATGGTGGCGCTAGTGCTTCAGGTTTCGGTGAAGCTAAAATTCATTGAAATAAATAAATTTAATTATAAAATGTTAGTTACATTCCTTAAAAAAAACAACAGTTGATAGTTTATGTTTCACCATTTTTATTAGGTGAAATACCAAATAAGCGATTTTGTTAGTCTTTCGCAGACCATTCGTGAGAAGTTCAGAAGTTGAGTAATGTATCTTCTTAACATCAATATTCAGATTCAGTCAATGTTTTACTGTACGTTTCGTTTGCTCTTAAACTTAATATTGAGAAAAATATTTTAAAATGTATAACTATTAGTAATTACATGAAAATTAAAATATAAATTTGAAATGGGTTCTTTTAGTTAGAATGGAAAAACTATTAAAAAAGTCATGTGAAATAAAACAACATAGGTTAGCATCTTATTGAAAAGGAATTGATTATTAATTTGAATAAAATAACTTCTTAATTATTTAAATAAATTATTATTATTATTATTTATACTCGAATAATAACTTTACTATAAATCAATTATTTTCTTGAAATTAAATTTTATTAAATACAATCAAAGAATAAAAAAGACTTAAATAGAAGAAATTAAAAAATCTTTGTAATCAAGCTTTACAAACTTTATGTTTAGCTCATGGTAATGTGAAGAAAAATCTAGAAATATTCAATCTTCTAACTATATGCCATGAGGAGCCTTTCACCAATCAATTGTGGTACTCAAATTGACATCCATCGTAGCCTGCTTAGCGCACACACACAAAAAAAGGATCATCGTTTTAATTTATTCTATAAAAATAATGAAAATTTGATTAGATTTATAAAAGTATGCGTTTTCAAATATATAAGAATAAAAATGATGAAATTATTGTAAAGAGATTAGAATTGAGAGAGTTGAGACTGTAAACAAGTATAATGATCTAAATTGCAAATTTAAAATTTGAATTCGAATCGAGAAACTCACTCGGATCAGCTGCGACAAGTATGGCAGTGCCCCCAAACTCACATGTACCACCATCAACCTTGGTCTTTTGCCAATAACTATTAAAAGCATAGGAAGCATGTGCGAACAAGCTATCGGGCTGAAAGCACGAGCCGCTAGGCTGAATCGAATCGCAATCCGCCCCGGCGACACAAGCATAGTTCATAGCTTCTTGAACAATCGGGTCAGGCACCGATGGCTTAGCCACACACCACAGTGCCGAATTCGGAGCCACGTACGGAGGTGGTGGAACCGTAGGTGGAGGGTACACTATGGGTGGCAAAAACACCAGTGGGCTTGTGTGTGACCCGAATGGAGATGGAATATAGGATGGTGGGCTTGAAATTGGCCCCGAAGAGCTCGTTGGTGTCGGGGTTGTTTGTGGTGGGCTTGGAGGCACCGATAATTCGGGCGGGCTTGGAACTGTTCCGGATGTGCTCGACGGAGGGGGGAAATAAGGAGGACGGTTTGAAGGGGGGAGAGAATCAAATGGTGGCAAAGAAAATGGTGGGCTTACACCATAAGGTTGAGTATTAGAATCATTGGTTGGTTGAACTATCACTAAACTCATAAGCTTACTCATCAGCTGCAATTTCTTTGAGTACTTTATGGCTATTCCCATTGATTTGCTTGCATCTGCACCGTAGCAAATTATAATTTAGGGTAAAGTACATTAATTGTCACTGAACTATGCTCAAATGATCGTTTTGATTATTAAACTTTCAAAAGTTATAAAATAATAATTAAATTTATCGAATCAAGATTCTCACCTAAAATACATCAAATGGCATTGAACTATTCTTAAATGGCCGTTTTGACTATTGAACTTTCCAAAGTTACATAATGATAATTAAATTTATCAAATTATTATAAAATGATCGTTAAATTTATCAGATTTTTACAATTATTATAGCGTCCAATAACTATTTTATAACAATTCGATAAATTTAATTATTGTTTTATAATTTGAAAGTCCAGTGATCAAAACGATAATTCGATCATAGTTCAGAAACCTTTGATGTACTTTCCCGTATAATTGAATATAATCTATTATAGGGTAGTGGCAAGGTACATTGGACTTCTTATGTAAGAATCATAATTCGAACCTTGAAAATGTAATTATTGTAAGGGAGGCGTCATGAATCCCGAACATGAATAGTAAAACGAACAGTAAAACGAACATGAAAGATAAAAAGAAAAACCTATAAGCTTACTGCAATGTATGAACAGAGTGAGTGCCATTGTTGAATACTGAAGGAACATGCAAACCTTGGTCCCCATAACTCAGTTTTCACGTTCAGCAATGCCAAGGTTGTTAAAATTCCAATGAAAGGGTAGAAGAATGATAAGAGAAGCATATAAAAAAGCAAGGGAAGAAGAGAGTTCTACAAGCTAAGGCCAATGAAAGGGGACAAGTGGCTTGCTTGTCCATTAAAGATTTTATTCTTCACCTTTTTTTCTTGGAAAAAGACCTTATCGATTAAAATTTAGTTCAATTAAATTTGTTAATACGAATCTATATGATTATACCATATGAAAATGATACGAATACGATTCAAATTTGGCATATGTGCTTGCCTTCACCTCTAAAAAAAATTCAAAGTTGAGATTTTTCGTTTGCCCTTTTTGTCTTGCTTGCTTTCAACTCAAAACTTTCTCTAGACTCATTAAACTATAACTGAGAGACTTAGCTTACCTAAAAAAAAAAAGGTATGTTAATAAGATAATTTCTCTTGTTTACCTAGTAGATTCAGAAGCTCACTGTTCAAAAAGAAAAGGGTGAAATATAAAAATGGTCCCCAATTATAGGATGATACTTTGTTGAGTCATCTGATTATTACAAGTTACAAAATGATCCTTCGACTATAAAATTTGTTTTGTTGAGTAACTCGACTATTAAGAGTTACAAAATGATCATCCGACTATTCATATGTTCCAAACTCGTTCTTTCTTATTAAAAATGATGAGATTCTAGGATCATATTTTATAATATCTCAGTCAGTAAGTTAATGTCCAACTCATATTATCATCAACTTTAAGGAAAAAGAATGAGTCTGGAACATATGAATAGTTGGATGACCATTTTGTAACTTTTAATAGTCGGGGAACTCAACAAAGCAACACCATATAATTAAGAGACTATTTTGTAATTTTTAATAGTTTAAGGACTCAAAAAATATCATCCTATAATTTAGGGATCATTTGTGTATTTTACCCAAAAAATAACGGAGCTCCGATATTTTTCTATTTATTTCTTAGAAAGCAAAGCAAAAATTGTCACTTTCTTTCTCAGTTGTCGCTTCTTCGTTGGGGTTAGTATCGGTATCGTCGACGATTCACTTTTACCGACAAAAGTATCCAATTTAACCCTCTTGTATTATTGGAGAATCCCAACAAAAGTTTGGGTTTTTTTATTTTGGGGGAAGAATAGTAATGGCGGCAGCAGCGGCAACGATGGTCAGCTCAGCTGGAGGCTTACTGGCGATGCTTAACGAAAGCAATCCTCAGCTGAAGTTACATGCTCTCTCTAATCTAGTTGAGTTCGTTGATCAGTTTTGGCCGGAGATCTCCACCAGCGTTCCAATTATGTAAGCTTGAGTTTGAGTTTTTTTTTTCATTTTTGTTTGATTTGGTGGTGGAACACTGAATGGAAGAACGTGAAGAAAAGTAATTTCGATGTTTTGTTCAGCTATTGTAGAGAAAGCTTAAGAATTTTGTTTGAATTCATTTAGATAAGTGCGTAAACTTAGAATTTTGGTATGCTTGGGTTGTTTCACTTGTTTGTGGAGATTTGGGAATGTTTCCAAATTTTGGTTTTCAAATTAGGTTTTATCTGCTAAAGGGTGAAACTTAAGATTCAGTAAAGTGTAGCAATTTTTCTGGGTGTGTGTTATTGGTTGCTTTAGTGAAGCAAAAGATTTATAATTTCCAGATTAGGAAGAATAAAAAGAAATTATCTGTTAGAGGAAAATATATTTTATTGTGCAATATGTGATGATTTTTTTTTCAAGTAGGAAGTCTAAAATTTTGATTGAATAAAAACAACGACTATGGTGACTTGTGAAATTTTCCTATAAATTAAGTTCTATTTAATGTATCTTTTCTGAACCGTGGAGGAACTAGGAAGGGAGAGAAGGGCGGGGTGTGTTTAGGTTTGCCTTCTTTCATCTGCCATACGCAAATCTAAATTTATTTAGCATGATTTATTCCTTGCTTACATAGTACCTAATTATGTGGCCTGTAATGAGAGTGATTCTAATGATTTCGGATGGAGTACTGATATACATACTTGTGTTTTTTAGAGAAAGTCTCTATGAAGATGAAGAATTTGGCCAGCATCAGAGACAACTTGCTGCTCTCCTTGTCTCAAAGGTCCTCTCTTGTCTCTCTCAGTTTGTATGTATATGCTTGTGCATGTTAGTGCAGTATTGTCAAGGCATGCACCTAGGTGTTGTGACTCGGCGGCTAGGTGCTTTTTCCAGTATGTGCTAAAAAAGTTAGCTTGATTGAAGTTCTCTTTAATTTATCTAATTTTAATGTTTTCATCAACTATCTTTACAAATAACGAAGGGAACAATATCCTATTATCAACTTCAGCTTTAACAATAGATATGGGATGAATTCTGTTGGTATTGTACATTTGTACCAGTATGGGTTTTAAAGGTAAAACGAAGTGGTACCGGTATCATACCATTATGGCTTTTGTACTGGTCCATACTAATCGTACCAGCCTGTATTGGATTCATCAGTTTGTATAGGTCAATACTAGTCGGTATCAATGCATACTTGGTATAAGATTGTCTTTTTTCTACATTTACTTACCATATCTATCTATACAGACTTATGTGAACTTAAAAATTTCATTGTCAGAGCAATGCTGCTGTTTGATTTGCTGGAACATTTATGTTATTTTGTTGACTTTTAGTTATTTGGGTTAAATTGCTCTTTCCACCAGGTCTTTTATTACTTGGGCGAACTCAATGATTCATTGTCTTATGCTCTTGGAGCTGGCCCCCTTTTTGATGTTTCTGAGGATTCTGATTATGTTCATACTCTCCTTGGTAAGAACTTTGTTTAATTTGATACATCTTGTGATCTTAATAACAGTTTAATTGATTGAAATCCATTAATATGTTGGTTATGATTTTATTTTGCTGCATGGAGGGTTAAGGAAAGCCTAAATATTTGCTTGTAGATTATATTATATTTCTTTTGTTTTGAATTTGCCATTCCAAGCAGTTAACTGGTTATGCTCTTAATTTCAGCCAAGGCAGTAGATGAGTATGCCAGCTTTCGGTCAAAGGCAGCTGAATCAAGTGATGAAGCAGCAAGGGTTGATACTAGGTTGGAGGAGATTGTGGAGAGAATGCTGGATAAGTATGTAAAGCTTGCTTTGTTACGATTGAGTGTTTTGGAGTTAGTCTAGCTATCTTACAGTTGTTGTTTTATTTAGGTGTATTACGGATAGAAAATACCAACAAGCGATGGGAATTGCAATTGAGTGCCGGAGACTGGATAAACTTGAGGAAGCAATAACAAGGAGTGAAAATGTTCATGCTACCTTAGCATATTGCACTAATATCTCTCATTCTTTTATATATCGAAGAGAATTCCGTCATGAGGTAAGGGAATTATTTTAGTAGTCCATAAAGTTCTGAAATGCAATCGCAACTAGATTTTGTAAAGAATTTTTTGTAATTCTGGTAATTATTTGGTTCTTTCAGGTGCTTAGGCTTCTTGTTAAACTGTACCAACAACTGTCCTCTCCTGATTATTTGAGCATTTCTCAGTGCCTAATGTTTTTGGATGAACCTGAAGGTGTTGCGAATTTATTGGAGAAACTTCTCCGTTCTGAAAATAAGGAGGATGCTCTTTTGGCTTTCCAGGTTGCATTTGATCTTGTGGAGAATGAGCAACAGGCTTTTCTCTTAAATGTACGAGATCACCTTTCTGCTTCAAAAACTCTACCTTCAGAACCAGTACAGACGGGATCCGCCGATCTTGCTGTTGCTGAAAATGAAAATTCTACTGCTCCAGAGGATGTTCAAATGACAGATGGTTCTTCTGCTATTACTACAAATGTGCATGAAGCAGATCCTAAAGAAGTTATATATGCTGAGAGGCTGACAAAAATCAAAGGAATTTTGTCTGGGGAGACCTCAATTAAGTTGACTCTACAATTCTTGTACAGTCATAACAAGTGAGACATCAATTTGTTTTGTATTACCCTTTGGTGGAATTAAATTCTTATTGTGTTTTCCCCCCGAAAACTGTTAACTGATTGTGATTTGTCATAGATCGGATCTTTTAATTTTGAAGACAATAAAGCAGTCTGTAGAAATGAGGAATAGTGTTTGCCACAGCGCTACAATCTATGCTAATGCGATAATGCATGCTGGGACAACTGTGGATACGTTCTTGAGGGACAATCTGGTAAAAAATTGTCTTGCTGTACCTTTATTCACTCTTTAGGCTAATTTCATATCGTGTCTGCTTACGGTTACGGTTATCATTAGGACTGGCTGAGTAGAGCTACAAATTGGGCTAAATTCAGTGCAACAGCTGGGCTTGGTGTTATACACAGAGGACATCTGCAGCAAGGGAGGGTCTTTAATGGCTCCATATCTGCCA